GCTCTGTGCTTTAGACTCAGAGGGTTACAAGGGACTTCAGGGTCCTCTGGTCCAACCCTCTGCATGAATACAGGCTTCTTAGGACACCGGATACAGCACTCTTGATAGGATTTCCCCTGCCCCTTTCCTTCTCAGCCCAGATGCTACTCTTATATACCATTATATAGCAATAAAAGACACCGACACCAGAGGCTGTCCTAATTAGTAGCCCACATCTGGGACCACCACCCCACAGTGCTGGGTTTGGCATGTACACATACAGGGAGACAGACCCTACCGATTTCCCCCCCCACAAAAACAACTTCTAGTTGTGCATAAATCAAGGTTTAACTAGGAGAGATCCCTGGAAGTGGCAGCTTCCTTGTGTCTGGAGTGTTCTATGTATTCTCCCAGCACAAACTAGAGGCATTAATTCCTGCATCCTACTGCCTAGGTGCAAGGACTTGGGCAAGTCCCTTATTACTCAACACTAACATGCACACCAATGTCACTGCAGAGCTGTGGGGGCAAGCAGTTAACCCCAGGCAAAGCTTTTGCACAGCCTGGACATGCAGAACAGCCCGCCCGGGTCCTTTCCTGATGTGCATGGGCTTCCCTGGAGCTGTACAGCATTGCATCCACTATAGATCTGGGACTTGAAACAAGCCTGTCTCCGTTGCAAGCTGGTAGAAGATGCTGCCACCTCCACCTATTTAGCAATTCATTAGCTGATGTGGGACTGCAGAAATCTTGCCTCCTGCATCCTAGCATTTCCAGTATCCCTATAACCACCTGATTTCCTCACTACTGCCTCTCTGCCCTCTCCCCTTACTGGAGAGCAGCACCGGTTCACCAGTGACACCAGTTAAAACCCCACAGAATCAAAAGCAATTGGGGAAAGCCGGGTGTCTCAGCAACCCGGCAGATATTAAAGCACCCAGTCCTTACCCGTATATGTCAATGGAGATTTCTGTGCCTAGCACATAGACAGCGCTGGTAGGATGCTGGGTAGACAGCCGGATGAGTCTTTGTTGGGACATGCTTGTACCCTCTGCTCTCCCAGCTGCGATGCTGTGCTGTGTACAGTCCTGAGAGGAGACACGGCATGATTAAATTAAGAAGGATTGGCTGTGTGTCCCACCCCTGACTCCTCCTTCACACCCCTTTCTCCCCGTCCCGTTGAATGTGATTAGCTGGAGATTTCTGAAATCACACCTCTCTACCTGCTCATTGGAGGCCCAGGAGATGCCGGGCTGAGATCCTTCCCATCAGGTTAGCAGGGTACTTCAGTGGC